TGAAACAATAGTTTTTTTTACTATAGAAGAGGACAGACGATAGAGCTTTGACTCTTTTCATTTGATGAAACGTGAAATACCCTAACCATGTAACATCTGAAAGATGTGCTATAGATCTATTTTGGCTTTGGATATTGGGAGATCCACAGACTGAAACCGACACGCGATTAACCTTCGCATTTTTTCATATATGGTTCGCCACCCGGTCGGATATTCCTACCACCCTTTAATATACAGATTTCCAGACGAAGTCTAACATGTGTCAGAAAAACTATTGATTAAAAACATGTTGGAACAGGTGGGGATCAAATCCACAACCAGTTAATAGCCATTCAATGATCGGAATTGAGTTTTGATCTTCAGTTGAATTCAAATTGGAATTCCGTTTGTATTATATTTATCACGACATGTAACCGTAAAGTACTAATTAAATATTTATGTTACGGCTTAAAAATAGATTAATTAACGAATTAAATGTTTATGTACTAAAAACTTGTGTTATCATATCTGGAGAATCAGTATAAATATTGTGGTATATAATATCAATAATTCAGGTAGATCCTAATGAACGAAAACAACGTCTATCAATCATTACGTAGATATGTTGATACTAAGTAAAGGAAAGTGTGGATAAGACACCATTTTAGTATTATAAATCTGGTTCTAGCATAGAAAAATTCTGGAGATAATTATAATATTTCCTTTAAGAAATTGATTCAATAATGTTATTCATAAAAACTAATAACAATAATTAACAGAACCAACTTTCACCCACGTTAGGGTATGGGACATAACATCTTTGGCTTCTGTGCAATCATTTTTATCTACATACGTATTGGATTATTGCCGCAAGTTTACGTAAGTTGTACAAATAATAAAAAACACTTAACGCCAAAATTTATTTACGTAATTCATATATCACCCGACGATCTAATACATCGCATTTTGAACTGTTAAAAGTTCCCGGCTGTTATTTATGTAGGTATATTTTGTTCAAAATGTTTAATCAGAAGATGGCTCATGATTCTCTGGATACATGGATTGAATGTAGTTTATATACTTGGCTAATCTTTCCAATAAATAGGAATTAAAAGGCTCGAAATCAAGGCGTGACTAAGCGACAATTGCCAGGTTAAGCCAGGTTAGGTTGAGTGAGGTCAGTTTTCTGCTCGTGTGCGACAATGATCTGTTGAAAGCGTAAACTCGTTATCTGATTTGTTTATTAACGGGGGGAATGAATTCAACAACTTTGTTTCGCTAAAGCTAAAGACTCTTTTTCCTTTTTATTTTAAATACGATATATTTAATTTAAATAAAACACTTGAAACGGTTTGAAACGCGATATATATCAGTGGATCTTATTTATAAATTATTTTAACTACGGCCCGACGTTTCGGATACTTATTCGAAAGCCGTTAATTTATAAAAAAGAATTTATGAATAAGTTTGACTAATAAATGTCGCGTTTTAAACCGTTAAAAGTATTTTATATAAATGTGTAAACTACAGACAGTTTTTACACAATTTAATGAACTTTAAATTGTTTTATATTTAAATAGTATTATATATGTGAGTTAAAACGTGAAATATATTTGTTAAATCATTTTTAAATATGACCAGACCTGTTTATGATACTCGCGTTAACTAGTCAGTAAAAAGTTAACAACACATTTTATTTAAACACTCTTTTAAAATAAAAAACTTTTAACATTTTACTTTTTTATATAGTGTACCTACAGTACCTACTTTTTATATTAGCCCTTTCAGTCACTGCACTTCCAAGCATTTTCAATGTAGTTTAATATTAAGTAACCTAATATTTTACAACTTAACACTATCATATTTATTGTACCTGTAAACTTTTGCTTGGCTAATACAGTGTTTGGTGTGACAAACAAAATTAATGTATTTTTACTAGGTAATGTCCATACTAATCTTTCAGTAGCGACAGACAATGATCTGTTCGTAAGGTCGCCATATCGGTGTTTATTTTTGTAAAGCAGGTGTAAACATGCCCATGTCATCCATGATGAATGGGATATTTACTCTGGCAACACTGACGTTGAGTGGTCACTGCTGCCTGAAGCTTTCTCAAAACCCTTTTTCTATCTAGCAAGCAGCGTGGTTAGAGATCTATAGTTTTATACAATATATATTATTAGTTGATCTTGTTTCCCATATAATATGGTTCTTGTGAGTTAATCTTCAAAGATAGAAATATACTAGGACGGGCATATTTCTAGATCATTTCAAGAGAAATCATTATTTCATAAATATTTATAGGTTTCTTAAACCGTGTTTACAGCGTACGCAACGGAAACCCACAAGTACGAATTTGCCCCCCATTTTTAACATATCCCTTTGTGATGTTAGACCTAAGCCTTTCTCGATAAATGGTCTATTGAACACAAACATGTTAGCGCGTTAAAACACACTAACAAACTCACACACACAAATAATGTTTATAGGTAATATTAGTATAAATGCTGTAATATGTTTCGCGTTTTAAACTGCTAAAAGTGTTTTATATATTGCACAATCGGAGTTTATACGCTGGCTCCTGCAGCTACGCTCACAAAATTATCTCTCGTTTAATTCTCAAAGTCAGCCTTTTAAGTCATAACTGACCTAACCGAATGAATTATCAAATTTTAATCCATCAATAAAAATTACTTTTAAACTGGCTACTTTAAGCGCATTCGCAAAATTATAAACGCGTTTCTCTCGACCTTATTTCATAGAGCATAAGATGGTTTGTCGCTTGGCAATTGACAAGTATGGCTCTGTCAATAAGGATTAAGTGTAGTCCGAGTGTCAAGTTACGTTGGCCGTCAGCCGTTGACAAGTGATTGACATCGGCCTCGGAGACCGTAAAGAAATAAGACAGTGACGGGTTTAGTGCGAGCTTTATTTGTTCCCGTTGAATTATCTGCTTGTTAATTTTATTGGGCGTCTGATCGATTTGTTTTTTATGCTCTCTACAGAGGTTTAATGATGTTATCTTTGTGTGATGTTTATTAATATTTAAAGAGAAATCAACAATATTTTTTCTAACTTAGCAAAAGACCATAACAAATATGGTCGATTTAAAACAAGACTTTCAGATTTTTAAAATTTAACTATCAAGATTGGGACAAGATCGTGCATGAGTGGGACTTCCTACTATCGTTGACTTTTCGTCCCGACATCCCATCCCAAAGTAAATGTTAAACTAGAGAAATTTCATTGAGTGCATTAATTATTAGCATTTTCATTAATTTCAGAAAGAATTTGAGGTAGTTCATTAGTTTAATATATAATCCAGTGATAAGTTTTGTTAGAAAACCAGGATTTCATTAAATTTTTGTGTTTACCAAAAATTTGCCAAATAAGGAAAAAATACAATATATAAGTGTCAAAATGGCTATTCCTTTTTTTATTTTTCTTTGACATAACCGCGGAATGTCGAAACTGAAAAAAACAAAATACAAGAGAAATATTACCGAACTCAAAAATAGTGGTGCGTCATTAACAAATTTGTAGCATCCTGAGATCTGTCATTCGGCCGTCAATCACGACGCGTCGTGACGGCTTCTACGGTGGTCTACCACGCGTGCCAAATATACAGAGTATCGAAAGCGCAAGATTCTATTCCCAGTTACTACACTTGTGTTTCTAGGTTTATCCAAGGTACTATAGTTTAAAAATTATGTACCCTGAGTGCTCAGTTTAAAACCCTCTATTTGCGTATTTATCTTAAAAGGTTTCTCGTTTCCATCTGAGGGGAATGGGGCAAACACACTTCTGTGTCCGATTCACTTATCGGTTTTGTATACAGGCAAGTCGATCCCACTTCTGTGCGCTGCCCGACCGAAACCATTATTATTTGCCCCGAGATTCAAACCCAGGACAGTTTAAGTATTTGGCTATTTATTTATTTTAGTTTAGAGACGCTAAAATAAAAATGATATATTTGAAATTCGTAGTAGCTCAAAACACGTAAGGAGTATTTATGTTCAATAAGTATTTTGTACTAATATTTAGGACAAAGTAAGAACGAGAAATTTAGTAAAAAAGATCCTTTTCTTGTAACATTTATAACGAGAACATTAATTTTTATCAACGAATGTATCTGACTGCAAAATGTAACCAAATCTTAGCGAATTTACAATTGAAAGTTCTATATTTGAGCCACCCCTTCGCACAAAAACCTAGTGTTCCAGACGTATTTAGTTTCGTAACCTAAATAGCGGGGCTTCTCCGAAAAATCGACCACACAGCTCGACGTCGTTGACGTACGGCCAGCTGACAGTTGACAGTGACGAAAAATAACTCCACCATCGACATTGATGATCTCATGATGACTTGTTAGAAACTTCTTGTCCGCTTCTAATTACCTGGTAATGCCACTGAGACTCGGGAAACTAAGCTATATATATAGTAAGAGGTATTTTGTTCAAATACTACATGTATACCTTATTAGTTTTATATATGTACACATATACAATATGATATAATAATACAATTCAAAGTTTCAAAATGGCGAATAAGTTTTTTTTGACCATACTGTAATTTAAAAGAATAACATATTTTCAATTTTGACGAGTTCGTAGGTCTAATGGGAACAATGTATAATAAATAACGGGTCGAGGGTTCTATTTCTGCTGTGCCCAAATTTTTCTAATCAATTTTTAATTTTTCTCGCACTTCAAGTTTCAGTTTGTGGATTTCCGAAAATCCAAAGACCAAATTGATCGACGGCGTATTTTATTTGCATATTATATGACTGGAGTATTTCACCTACCACCAAATGAACTCATGCCGGTCCTTCTCTATCGTAAAAAAAGACCCAATTTCTCACACGATAGATTTGTACGTTACACGAATTTCACAATTTTCGCTTATGCCGCGTCATCTATCTAAACGGCATATTATACCGCAAATCCTCAAACGAACAGGGCAATGAATGTTGATGACATTCGATCACCCAAACAGAATGCAACGCAATAAGATCGGCAATAATGAGGGGACGTATTGAGGGGCAACCGGGGGCAACCGGGCGTGCCGGACGAAGGAGCCCGTCATCTCCGAGTTTCGCGGCACGTCCGAGACGTAATAAGCGGACGTCCCCGGTCCGTCACCGGGAGGAGGCCGGGCTGGAATGGGGCATCGTTGGAGTTAATGAAGTTTTCTCCGCCGCGATTCCCACAGGTCGTCACATGCGGACCGAGTTTGCGGCACATATTGTGCACGTCGCCCTATGGCCAGATATTGCCGGCTGAAATGTTTTAATAAGCGCATCCCGGGTAGCGGGCCTAGCGTTATTCGCTCTTATTAATGTCTATTGTTTGGAGTTTGCGTTATTGCGTCTGTATTGACGGGTTCCATTTGACGCCATCTGTAGGTTATTAGGATATCTGATCGGGTTGGCTCCGAATTATAGTTGGACAATAAACATTCTGTTTAAGATTAGTTTTAGATCTAAATTATAGGGTATCTATACTATATATAAAGCTGAAGAGTTTATTTTTTGGTTTGAACGCGCTAATCCCTGAAACGAATGATTCAAATTGAAAAATTATGTGTACATTTTGTGTTGCTTAGAGCATTTATCGAGGAAGGCTCAAGTCTATAATATCAGGCTGCGACCAATAGGAGCGTAGGAGCAGTGGGAAATGAGGGCAAAAACGGGAAACATTTTTAGGGTTACAGGGTTTCCTTGCGCGCGCTGCGAAAACTGCTCAAGATACCCAAAATTTAAAAAAGAATCATTCCTCTTTAAATTATCTGAAAAACATCCATGATAACAATATTATGTGTCTTGTAAGTTAATCTTAAAAGATTTTAAGATGCGCGACGGTACGCGACCGAAGTTGTGGTTAACAGCTTGAATTTACAAAGATGAAGAGGAGGTTGGCAAAAACAAATTTGATGCCCCAAATGTGGCTAACACAGCCAGTAACTAATAAACTGATAACTGGCTTAGACAATGGACAACAGTAAAAATAGAACAAAGTTAAAAGACGTCCAGAAGGCTAAGCATTTGTTCTAAACTGTGTGCAATTCAAAGTTATGCACGTTTCGACGTCCACGCGTCCGGATTGAATCGCTCGTCCAAATTAACAAACTTCGCCATTCTGCTCCGCCCCCATCGCCCCCCCACTTTACTGTTTTGTTTGTTTTTCAATTGGATTTTTATGTACTTACTACATTTTGCTTACATTTGACTAGCTGTTCATTAACGATTGAACAGTATTCTTGTTTGGACAAAAGAATTTCGATCATTCTATTTTTGGCTAAATATTATATTCCTATTACAAAAATTTAATGTGTCACTGGTATTCAATAATGAGCTTTTATATACTTTTAAATAAAACACTTTAACGGTTTAAAACCGCGATATATTAGTTAAAGCCGTGGTCACTGGGAGACGCTGCTGCAAAGCATCCGAAACGTCGGGCCGAAGTTAAAATAAATTTCAAATAAGTTTAGCTAATATAATATCTCGTTCTAAACCGTTGAAGTGTTTTATTTATATGTGTACTACTGGCGTAAAGTATAGTCAGTATTTTATATTTTTAACAACGAGTATGTAGTGTACAAATATACAAGAGTAAGAATTAAAAAGAAGTTACCACTTTTTTAATCTAACTGACCTGGTCATTGTTCTTTTGCGATATGGTTATTTCGGCGAAATTAGAATTACCATATAAATAGTTATTCTGAGTTAATGTTAAAAGATAGACAAAAACGGTCAAACATTTTTTAGATTATGTGAAGAAAAACAATTCTTGAATACATATTTTTAGGAATTATCAACCGTTTTCGCTGGCGACGCAACGGAAATCCTGAAAGATAATCCATTTACCCCGTTATTTTTTGTATCTCCTTCAGTTTCTGCGCTACTATTGGTTGCAGACTGATGTCGTCTAGCTTTACGCTACGCCTTCCTTGACAAATAGTCCAACTAACACGAACATAATTTTTGAATTCTAACCAGCTGTTCTTGAGATATTCATGTTCAAATAAACAAATTCTTCAGCTTTATAGATATTTTTGCTAGTTACTAAGGTAATTAAAACGTACTCTTATAAAGACATACACTAGTAAAGGTGTTGAAAACAAGCTAATAGCTAGAAAATAAGCTAATAATGCTAGTCATTTCATTACAATTATGATTCGTCTACCTTTACGCGTTATTGAGCTATTGACCCCAGTATCCAGAGGGGAGTGCATTAATGACATTTTTCACATGTTTCTTACTCAGATCACAGGTCAAGAAGGGGTCGTCTGGGGAGATGGGGGTGAGATGGGTGGTATGGAGGGGGGTGTAAGGCGCGGACGTCTCGCGTCAATCAGTCGATGCAGACGTGAGGCGCATGCTAGCTTGGTTTTTTCGATAAAGTTTGATTATTTGCGAATGCGGTCATATTTGAGATCGTGTTATATACGGATTACGTTTCGCTCTGATTCGAGTCTTATTTAGAAATGTTTTATTTTTTCTGAAAGAGAAACACGCCAGCCATTTAGAAGCGAATTGACCTGTTTCGGCTTTAGATATTTGGAAATCCACAGACTACACATATTTACTATAATATCTAATTTATTGTACATAGTAAATTTAAGTTATTTTGACGTGTAAATCCATTTGTAGTTAACGCGAGTAGTACAGATTTATATCAAACATTTTGAACGGTTTAAAACGCGACACATATGGCCGTAGTTAAAATCAGTAGTAAATAAGTTGATTTAATATATTTCGCGTTTTAAACGGTTAAAAAGTTTTATCTTTTAGATAAATGATAGCTTCGTATTACTTCAAGACGAGGTACCTAAATTATTATAGAAATACTGTCAGTAGTACACAATTAAATAAAACACGTGAACGGTTTAAAACGCGATATATATTACTTAAACTTATTTAAAAACTATTTTAACTGCGGTCCGACGTTTTGGAAGCTTTGCAGCGGCCGTGATCAGGGGGAGCCACGTGACGTCGGGTCGTGGTTAGAACAATTTTGAAATAAGTTTAATATATCGTGTTTTAAATCGTTAAAAAGTTTTATTGAAATTATTATTCATTGCTATATAATACAAGACTTTTGTTGTATTAATATTTGTTTAATTTTCATTACTTTCGAAAGTGTTGCAAAAGCTCGTAACAAAAAGTTCGGCAAAAAGCTACCTCACAGGTAGAACGACATCTGCACACAAAAATGATTTCAAGGACGCGTGAAAAAGAACGAAGCTGATCCGTGATCACTCGAAGCCGTCGTGAATGAGTGACTGAATGAATGAATGAGTGAGTGGTTTGGCCTGGGACACCAGTTGATCGGGCATGATGCGCCCGTGTTCGTCAAAGTCAGCGATAAGAAAGGAATGGAGCTGTCTCTATAACATTTGAAGATTAATGTTCGCCGACTAAATTCAATAAATAAAGTGAGCTTCTTAGTATTTGGAATTTATGTATTATACGTATTATATTCACTCAATCTAACTTCAAACGAAGTAGACACAGGTATTGGCATAGACAGAAATATAAAGCTACGGTTATTCTTATTTGTAAATTGTATATTTCATCATTGTTTAAATATTGTCTTTAATCTTCGCGAGTAGTATCCACAACCGTTTTAAACACGAAATGTTTAAATGTACATACTTTTAACTATAACTCAATGTTTCGATTGCTTTTCAGCAGCCGTCTACAATTGTTTTATTTAATTGAATATTTTATAAGACTTAATTAACACAATCTGTCATTAATTAAAACGAATATCAGCTTTCAAATAAAACACTTTTAACAGCTTAAATAGCTTACGGATGCTTTAAAGCAGCCGCGGTCACGGGGAAAGACCTGTGTCTCCTGACTGATGTTAAAATAAGTTTAACTAATAGGGAGACTTTGCGTTTTAAACTGTTAAACTGTTATTTTATTCACCTACAGACAATACTTTAATATCAGATTAACAGTTTACAATGACTAAAAGATCCTCGTTGTGTAGGCGCACAAATAAAACTTGTCATGCCGCCATTTTATTTACAGCGCGTGTCAGAATTCGCGCGCAACACGGGTTATCGTATGCATTAAAATACGCGACATAGTGGCCGTGTAAATCAAAAGGCCGTAAAACGCCACAATTGAACTGCGCGACTCCATAGCGCCGCTGTCCTTGATTTATTCGTTCGTCGGTGCGAACGTACCTCGCTGTTCGGCTTTTTTTCTCCGCTTTATTGATGGTGCTCGGTTGAAAAGTGGCCAGGGCGGGCCGGCTAAGCGAGCGACGTCAGAATTTGTAAATGATTTTTCATCCGACTCATCCTGCGTTTTCGGGCCATTTGTCAGCGAGTGAAAAAGATGCATGTACGCGGCGTACTTTTTTTATTATTTTTTTTTAGGCTTTTACGCGACTCCATTGACATGGGAAACTGTGTTAGCGTCGATCCAGTTTATAAATCTGCCGGCTTTTACGCTTTCGATCTTTTAATTCGACCGTTTTTGTTTCGAATAGATAGTTTGGATTGCGCTGTTGTTTCTGAATTGTGGTGATTACTTGCAGTCGATTTAAAAATTCAAACATCACTTTTCATTAAACACTTTTAACTTGCTTACTTGCTTTTCCCGAGGACCACTGCAAAGCATCCCACAGGTCAGGCAATGTTTAAAATAACTAATTTATCACGCTCTTTAAACCGTTAATATTGTTTAATTTAAACATTTATTGCTTAAATGACAGACAAAACGTCTTGTTTATTCGGGTACATTGATGAACGTAATTAAACCTAAACAAACGATCAAATCAAGAGAGAAATAAAGATCAGCATACACTTTTTCATTGCTAAGTTTAACCAATCCATTTTGGTGCAGGTATCGTGGTGGAAGTACAGGACCTAAGCAATAAGATAAAATGAAGAATACTAAGCACTGTCTGTAGTTGTCGACAGTAGTACACATTTACATAAAACACCATTAACGGTTTAAAATATGACGTAACCTACTTCAGTGTCCCAGTGACCATTGCCGCAAAGAATCCGAAACGTCGGGCCGTAACATAAACTAATTCATTTCGCGATTTAAACTCTTAAAAGTGATTAATTTAACTGAAGATTATTTTATAAAGCAAGTTGGGGCCGCGGGTCGTAGTTAGAATAAAACTAATACAGTTCGTTTTTTAAACCGTTAAAAGTGTTTTTTTTTAAATAATTGTGAAAAAGAACAAAAATTGTTAAGTTAAAAGCTTTGTAAAATTGTGCGTTACGTCATGTAGTTTTACATTTTCACAAT